ATTCCTGATTCCACATTTCAAGGCCGCTGCCTGCCTGAATTGAAGAGGCTCTCCTTCTCTGGAGTTCATGCCTGGCCTCTTGCTTGCTTTACTCAACTCACACATCTATCGTTGGCTGATCAGCGATATATGGAACTGCGGTGGACAATGGGTGAATTTATCGAAGCCCTAAACGGTTGTCCGGGCCTCGTTGAGCTCCATCTCTTGATGGCGGGACCGTTGTCGTCAACTGATAAAGCCGGCACCCGCTCCCAGGGAGTTTTGTTGAACCACCTGAGCCAGATCAATTTCAGAGAGATTACCTGTGCAGACAATCCAGGAGATTTGCTATTCCACCTCAAATATCCCAGCTCCACTTTGGTTATACTTCAGCCCGAAGAGCCCTTCACCACTCCACTTTTCAAGTCAATGTTTACACCTCCTCTTCTTCCTCCCTTCCTTTCACATGCTCAATCTATGGAGATTATGCATGGAGAGATGGAAGCGCTCATGGTATGCGAAGACACGGTTTGTCTCCTGGTTTCCGACGCTGAAGATGGTTTATTTCCATTCTCTGATCTCCTTCACTTGTTCCTCAACGTGGTTATGCTAACCCTCCACTTCCCCGTTGTTATCGAGGAACCCTCTTGGTTGGAGGTACTGGAAACCGTACCAGCTCTCAACTTGCTCAGAATGGAGGGCCCTGGAAAAGAAACCATTCTTTGTTTGATGGATGTGCTCAGCTTGGAGGGTGGCCGTGGTCCTCTGTGCAATTCGCTGGAAGCGGTTTTAGTCTATTCACCGCAGGCAACAAACCTTGAAGGAGTGGCTAGCCGAGTCATCGTTCACGAGCGGCCGATGCCCTGCGTTCCGTGCCAATTCATTTTCCACCAGCAGGTCATGCCTGTCAGAGCCCCCAACCAAATGACCTCCCTACTTTGAGTAGCTAGCAGCATATATACACGTTTCATTCTAGCATCGAATCAAAGTCACAATAGTACTTGACTCTGCTGAGTCTGCTCATGAGTCATGTGGACGATCATGCAGTGTCACGTGAGAACTGTGACCGTCACCCTACAGAAGCGCGTCAAAATTTTTGCAAAATTTCAACAGCCATTGCCTCACCATATTCCCCGAAGACATGGTCCATTAAGCCCACCCTTTCGAATTTGCGCGACCGGTTATGCGGAATGGACGCGCCTGAAAACCTCCAAAAGTACGTAATTTCCCCCCCATTCCTCAATTCATGCCCACGTACGGCGAGTTCGAATCCGCTTTTGTATCCTGCAAGGTTTTGCCTTCAGCGCGAATACTCGAGCCCGGGAATACGTGTTTGAAGTCCAACCTTGTGAGAGTCACATCTGCAGGATTGATTATTTCGGGGCATCATTCAATGCCAATAGATGGTGCCCGGCGCGAAGCCCCTTGAGCGGCGGCAGCTATAAATATGAGGCTAACATACTCCCATTCCCATATAGAAACACGCTTTACATTCTACCAGGGAATCGTGATCTCGACTTCGATAGCCTTGTCTTACAAACCTTTCAAGACGTGTGCAATGGGGGCGACCCATTTGGCTCAAGCTCACCTCTCACAAGCCCGGAAGCATCGGCGCCGCCTTCTCCTACTCTCCTCGCACAGGAAGTGACTCCCACAGACTTCATCTCCTCAATGGACCAGCCAGGCTCAGGCCCCGTCCGTCCGACCAAGTCAAACCACGCCAAGCGTCAGAGCCATGGCAACCGGCGGAAGAGGCGCAAGGAGGAGAAAGACCACCAGAATTTAAATAATGAGGTCACCATATACGAGCCACGGGCATCCACCCGCCGCAAACACGTTCAACCATCTTCTGCCCTTCCCTTAGGTGTGGACAGCGAAAACCGACTCCTCGCTGCATCCACGGGCTATGTAGGCTCCAGGGGGTCTGGGAGGGGTGGCCGAAGGATACTCCCACTCCAGATCCTCATTGAGCCAAAGTCTTCCTTTGGGCTCGAGCTCAAGCAATGGGACGGAAGGTATGGCCCGATGCGCTCCTCCGTCAGCCCCTGACTTTCGTGTTAGGACCACTTTCCCAATCATCGATCGGAAGCGTCGCGTGATTGCTGTTCTGGTTGGTCGCCCCGACAATGACGTTGGTTGCTCGGGGGTTTCTCAGGAGTGGCAGCGACTAAATGACTTAGCCTGCCAAGCCCTGGAAGATGCTAGATCAAGACTCACCTTTGGCTCCAAAGAGAAGGTACACCGCCGTGGTCGATTTCCTGCTCTCGGTGTCGGTATATCTCACGGCGGCGGGCAAACTCGGCCTGGGAACCTCTGCCACTCTTTGCATAACACGCTAATTCTCCAGCAACTGCTTGCCAATGAGGCGTTCGTTCGATTTTCTGGGTTTGTGACCGGTAAGTTGCACCCTTCGGCGTTCAAACCGATCTGAGCTTCATTGGCCTCACTAGGAGCCTTCGGGACGTGGGCCCCAAAACTTCATGCCTATTACGTGGAAGCCCTCAACAAGTTACTCAAGCATGACCCGAAACTGTTCCTCAATTTTGTTAACGGCGTATGGGCTGCAGCCACCTTCAACTTCGGCCCAAAAACCGTCTGCTTCAAGCACAAAGACTTTGCAAACCTTTGGCATGGTTGGTGCGGCATAACGGCGCTTGGGAAC